CTCCTTTCAAATAGTGCCACGGGATCTTTAACGTCCCCCTGATGGAACTCAGTTTAACGTCTCATCAAAGGGTTGGCACCTCCAACAATGCGACACACCCCCAGCACCGCATTGGAGTATCAGTTGTAGTTCCAAGTCCCGACGTGAAGCTTGAACCCAACGACCTTCTGACTTGGAGGCGAGGGTGCTACCATTGCGCCAGACTGACACACAATGTTATCTGAAGGGCGGCATCTCCGACAATGTAGTGCATCCCCTAGCAATGCACTGGTGTGTCAGCCAAATTCCCAATGTGGGGCTTGAACCCACAACCTTCTGACTTCAGAGGCAAGAGTACTGCTGACTGAGCCAGACTGATACAGGTGAAACATCTATCAAAACAAGTAAACAACTTGTTCCCTTTTACCTTCCAGTCTCAGTATTAGATTCCAAGCTTCTCCTACAAGGTCACATATCCACAGCATTTGCCAGCTCTGTAAATCCGCAATGCTGGGTGGGAGGAAGTGGATGGGGTGGGGGATCAATTCCTGGAAATAGCCAAGATAAGAACACCATTAAGAAAATATTGTTTTCGCCTTCTAACTGTTACCAAGGCTTGTGGAACACAATAAAGACTATTCCCATGCTCCCTTCACGCTTCTTAATGATTCTGTAGCTCCATAAAGCACAAACACACTCACACACACGTCTCATTCCAGACAACAACCAGCCAGAGATTTAGGGGGAATTAACTCATTTCAATGACGTTCTCGATGATCTGAAATGGATACTTTGCAATCATTTTCCAGGGAATCTTTCGCTCTCTTAAACGGTTAGCACAGGCTGTTCAAACCAACTAAAGTTGAAATGTGGAAATACATTCAGGTTTCTATGCAGGGTGATGAAATAATGAAACTGTGCAATTGGTGCAAAATTCATACACGACCTTGACAGACATTTACTCTTAAGTATAAAAATAATTAACAACTAGAAGGGGAAAGATTGCCAGGACGGGTGGTTGAGGCCAGGACACTAGATGTATTTAAAAAGCACTGGATGTTGTGATGGGGGGACAGGAGGGTGGGTGCCCTGGGAGCATGAGATTGGATGACCGGTCTTGTGATCTGGTGACAGGAATCATAATCCTTACATTTGATGTAGCACCTTTCATGTCAGGAGGACGTCTCAAAACGCTTCACAGAACTTTTGTACTGTGAAGTGACTGTATATTGTTTAGGTGATCCCACAACTAATTTACCAACAACAATGTTTCACAAACAGCCGGTTTAACGTCACAACATCCATCTGAAGTACGGCACCTCTAACAGTGCAGTGCTCCACCAACACCTATGTGATTATGAAACCATGAAAGTGATGTAAAATTTACACAAAGCATTGCATTATTGCACTAGTGCCAATAACGTCACATCTGAAGGATGTGTGATAATTGTTTGGGAATATCAGTCTAACTCACTCTGAAGCGACAACAACTTACATTTACATCAGACCTTTCACGTAGGATACTGTCTAACAAAGACGGGAGGAAAGAGCATGTATTTCGCCCACAAAATGCAGTCAATCCACTGTACAGTACATTTTGTGAATTGCTTTGAAACATCTCAAGAGCGTGATAAGGGGCTGCCTGCCCGACCGACCGACCGAGCTGTTCACAGGTCACAGAAGTCTTTCTCCGTGACCTCACACTCACACTGTTTTCGTGTTGGCAAAACACCGACTCTTTCTGCAACACAGCAGCCTTAAACTCTGCAAATAAATTTATATAAGCTCATAAATAAAGTGCTAGGAGAGTTTTGCAATGTTCTTAAATATTTCAAGATGTTTTTTTTTGGAGGAGGCTAACTTGGTGGGGGGTTTGTGGGAGTAAAAGATGGGGGGAAGGGGAGTGAAACTAATGCCTGGCTCCTGTTGATTTACTCTGAAGCGTCGCCAAAGGAAATGTTGTCTTTTAATCCCTTGGCGGGATATATCCACAGGACAATCGAATAATTTAGTGAATTCCTTTCTTCCATCTCGAACAGTCTTTCTATTTCTCTAGTTTCGCGGAATAAATCTTTATTTTAAATAATAATCACAATAATAATACTTGCAATTGGTATAGCGTCTTTCGCTCAGTATCAAAGCGCTGTTTGTTTTGTGTGTTAACAAGGCAGTCAGTTTTCTCACAGAACTATCCCCAGGAACAGCCATAATAAGTCATAATAACAATAATTATAATCCTTGCATTTGATAAAGCGCCTTATCACGTCGTTGAAATGTCTCAAAGTATTTCACACAATACATTGTAAAGTGAATTGCCTTGTTTATTTTGTGGGCGAAACACGGCAGCCAATTGCACACATCAGCGTCCCACAAACAATCATGGATTCAGTGACCACATTTTTTTGAGGGATTATTATCCCGGGAAAGCGATCTGCCAACTGGGTTCCTACTTACTGCTAGGTAAACAGAGGCGTATGGAGTAAGGAAATTTGCCTAAGGTTTTACCTAAGGAATCAAATCAGGTTCCTCTTGCTTGCGAGGCGAGCAAATCACTGCAGTATGGGAATCCCTCCATGAAGTGAATGAGCAATTTTATTTAGATGATTAGGACACCAGGAGAATCTCCCTTCTCTGTTTGCGTAATGTCTACCTGAAACAGGGAGACAGGACCTCGGTTTGACTTCATCCAAAAGACGGCACCTCTGACAAAGTAGCACTCCCCCAGCACTGCACTGGGGGTGTGGAGTCCTGTAGCTGAGTGGTTAGAGCACTCGCCTCGCAAATGAGAGACCTGGGTTCAATTCCTGGCAGGGTGAAATGTTGGCCAAGATTCCTTACTCCACACGCCTCTGTTTACCTAGCAGTAAGTAGAAATCTGGTTATCAGTCGATTGGTGGATCACCTTCCGGGGTAATAATTCCTTCAAAACAAAAATCGGTCATTCAATCCATGTCTGTGTGTGGGAAGTTGCTGTGTGCCACTGGCTGCTGTGTTTTGCCCAGAAAATATACAAATTCACAGTATATTCTGTGAAGCGCTTTGAGATGTCTCGAAGACGTGATGCGGTGCTATATCAAATGCAAGGATTATATTATTGGAATGTCAACATACATCTAGATTGTGAGTGGTAACCTGGGGCTTGAACCCACAACCTTCAGACACAGAGAAGAGTGTGCTACCAACTCAGACAGGCTGACACCCAAAGATGCCAGCACCATGGTAATGATTTTACACTGGCTGGACTACATACGTACAAGCAATGGAGGGTGGTGTAGAAGGACCAGGTGCGAGAACCCTGGATGATTTTCCCCTCCCTTGGGAAAGGAACGTGAATGAAAATATATTTTTGGATGTTGTGTTAGGGTTTCCCATGGGTCACAGCTGGTAATGGTTGAAAGACACTCACTTATTCCTCATTCTAAAGACGGAGGAATGCGGGATTGGCACAGAGTTAGCGTGAAGAATGAGAAGAATCCTTGAAATTGATGTGAACTTGATGTGACATCCACAACATCGAGACCTTCTCAAAACAATTCCCAAAATTTCTGTTAAGCGTCGTGAATTCTGTGTATTCTGTAGGCAAACGTGGCAGCAGTTTCGATTGGGATGTCCTTCTGATGTGAAAGGTGCTATGTAAATGTAAATTTGTATTGTACTTTGTAGTGTATTGTACCACACATAACCATGAATGACCAATTTTATGGGAACATGTCAAGTCTAGGCTAACTCTCCAATGCAGTGTTGGGGGGGCACAGGCTGTGCTACATTATTGTCCTTCAGATTGGATGTTAAACCAAACTCCTTCCATGGCACTTTTCGAAAAGAGAAGGAAGTTTCTCTCTCCCGGTGTCCTGGCCAACAATCCCCCAAATTAAAACTGATCACTCACTTCATGCCTGTTTGTGGGACCTTGCTGTGCTCAAAATTGCTGCTGTGTTTATCTACAAAATCCACAGTTACTACACTTTACAGTAATTCCTTTGAAGCATTTTGAGACAACACACTGACATGAAAGGCAAAAAAACAAATGCAAGGATTACTATTATTATTTACTTTATCCAAAGCCCTAATAATATTGAATACCTCAAAGTAGTCTTATTTCAGTCTCTGTTCTGTTTTATACTAATTATTTATAAAATGATTGCATTTCACGTAGCGCCTTATCATGTCGTCGATACGTCTCAAAGTGCTTCATTGGATTGACTGCATAAAAATAGTAGTAGAAGCATAAAGCATTAGGATTAAAATAAGATATTTTGGGGGGATCAAACCTGGGTTTAGTTACAAATGCAATCCTCTTACATGTAAACTCCCGTTGTGTTCCTTTTTCGTATTCCCAGTTCTGCAGGAGGCTGAAAGCGGATAAAACAAACTTAACAAACCAGCCAGCTAAGCCCTTGATTGATGTAATGAGTCTGAGGTTGCATTGCAGGCAGTGAATTGCAATCTACGCACACCAGCCAAGTCGCAAGCATCAAGAGCCTCAGTCACTTATATTGATTGAAACACTGAAATCCTTTGATTTATATGCCTCTTTTTTTTATGATTATGGACGTGCAATTATTTTCTTCTAATATTCTCTCCTCCATTTCCTCTCTCTGCCTCTCTGCGTCACTGCCCTGCTCTGATGGTAACAAGGTAATGGGCCTCTCTACAGGCTGAGCACTAACTCCACAAAATATAATAATTATGATGTGATCACTTCAATCCACGACTGTTTGTGGGACACTGATGTGATGTAATTGGCTGCCGCATTTCGCCCACAAAATATACAGTCAATTCACTTTACAGTATATTCTGTGAAGCGCTTTGAGATGTCTCAAAGATGTGATGAGGCGCTATATCAAATGCAACGATTATTATTATTGTCAAGCCCTTTGAGGTTTTCTTCCGACTTGTGGAGATCATAAACTGTTCTGTGTGTATTGTAACTCATTCCAAGATGCAACCCAGTGTGAAGGGCGCTATATAAATGCAAGTTGTTGAATTGTTGTAATGCAGTGATTGCATTTACCTTCCAGTGGTGCTTTAATGGCGAGTGTGTGACCGTTGGCAATCGGCCGGACACGATCGATGGAGGATGGGGGGCCTGGAGCATCTGGGCCCACTGTACCCGCACGTGTGGAGCTGGGGTTCAAGCCGCGGAGAGGCAGTGCAGCAACCCAGTGTGAGTACAACCCCACGCTTCCCCCATGACCACCTCAACACCTACCCAACCCCACAGCCCAGATCCTGTGATTTCGCCCACAAAAAATGCTGTCAATTCACATCACAGTCTATTCTGTGAAGAACTCTGAGACGTCTCAACCGCATGATAAGACTCTGTACGCAAGGATTATTATCATTATTATGCTGTGATACATCCATGCTTTCCAATAGTATCACAGGCTCATTAGCACTCACTTGAGGAGGAGAGATTCTGCACTTTGGTTCTCATGCGAAGGTATCTTATGACAGCTCAGCGCTCCCTCAGCACTGCACTGCACTGGAGTGTCAACCTAGACCATGAGCTCAGATTCTGACATGGGCGCGGGTTGCATTCAGCAAAAACTTTCATTCAGCAGTTGCCAACCTGTGCCTTAGCGGGCTCCAGCCTGCTTCAATTCCTCCGCCTTTCTCGCCTCACTATCAGTGGGCGGGGCTTCCGCCACTCTGCACCCACCCTCTGGAACTCCATCCCGCAGTCCGTCCATCTCGTCTCCTCCCTCGCCACCTTCAAGACCGTGCTTTCAATCTCCCTGCTTCCCCCTCCCACATCCCGACACTCAACTCCGTAACTCTGTCTGTCCAGCACCTTGGGACGACCTCTCGACGAGAAAGACGCTATATAAATGTAATTTTGTTGTTGTTGTAATACTTTCCAGAATTAGGTAAGCAGGATGTGTCCCACCAGCGAGGGATAACGCAATCCAATCGAACAATCTATCTCTGGGATTTCCACGTGTAGGTGGGATGCATGGAATTCTCAGTTTGCCTTCGGTACTCTTTAATAATAACCAAAAAAAAAACCAAAAATAATGATCGGGTAGGATACCAAGCAAAGGAGACTGGGGAAGGGGAGGTGACCATAGTCACAGTTGAAGAGGTAGGTGTGATTTAAAGACGGATAAGCAGAGGCGAGAAGAAGGGAATTCGAGAGGTTGGAGGCGTAACAGCTGGAAAATATCAGAGATAAAACTTTCCAAACTCCTGATCCAATGGCTAGCAACTGAACCAAACTGGCACCTCATGCAAGTATTTTTTTTTGGTGTGTCCAGTGTGCATTGGGGTAACTGCTGGAGTCTAACCAGCTAAAAACTCATAGCTTGCCATTGATGGTACTGTCTGGCAAGCTTTCCTGCTGCTTATCCAGCTGGGACCACCCTACCTGTTACGGTTTTGGCTTGCAGTGTTAATAGGAACTGATTGGGAGGCTCCTAATAACACTGCTGCCAGTGTAAATACTAAATAGCAAATTGTTAGTAGAATAACCTGAATTGAGTTTAATTCATTTGATGCTAAGATCAGCAATAGGTCCAGGAAATTGCTGCAGGGGTGAACATGTTTTCATCCTTCGCACACCAGGGCTGAAATATACAGTATGTTACTGCAGTGAAGAAACTCCATTGTCAGCTGTTGCTTTATTGCAGCGACATAAATCCTACAAAATTATCACTGAGGTCTTGGAAATAAAAGACAAAGCAATTTAAGTAGTCCCAATACGTCAGGCATAATCTATCCATTCTCCTCCCATTGCCTCGCTCATGCCAATAAACACATTCATCAAGCAGCAGAATAGGGCCAGGTGACACCAGCAGGGAGCAAGGGAGGGAAGGATGGAGCGAGGAAGGGGAGAGGGAGCGAGCACGGGAGGGAACAAGGAAGGGAGAGGAGGAAGGGAGAGAGCGAAAAGGGAGGGAGAGAGCAAAGCAGGGAGGAAGGTAGAGAGCCAGGAAGGCAGGGAGGGAGAAAGGAAGGGAGGGAAGGAGGGAGCGAGAGGGGGAAGAGAGGGAGGGAGCGACAAAGGGAGAGCGCAAGGGATGGAGGGTGAGAAAGAGCCAGGTAGGTAGGGAGGGAGGGAACAAAGAAGGAAAGGAGGGAGGGAGCAAAGAAGAGAGGGAAGGAGAGTGCGAGGAGCAAGGGAAAGTGGGAAAGAGCAAAGAGCAAGGGAGGGAGGAACGAGGAGGATGGGAAAGAGAAAGAACAACAAAATGTCAAGAATACTGTTAATTAATAAAAGCAGTGCTTCTCCACAGTGGTGGCGTTTAGACGTTTGGGTTTGCCTTACCAATCTTATTATCGTGTCAATGGTCCCTTCGCACCTGTCCAATATCTAGACCACTCTCTCTCGAGGTCTCACATGACAAGCAGCCACTACTTGTCCAAATCTATTGGATGAAGCAAAGAGAATCAAACTATCTTGGGACGTCCTCCCGACGTGAAAGACGCTCTATAAATGGAATCTTGTTGTTGTTGTTAAGAGAAACTTGCTCTATTATGAGGGAGAAGGGATTAACGGGGTATAGGAGAGGGCAATAATAATAATAATAATAATCCTTGCATTTGATATAGGACCTTATCACATCTTCAAAACGTCTCAAAACATGGCAGTCAATAATCATGGATTGAGTGAACAAATTACTATTATTATATATATAGTTTGAAGGGATTATTATCCACGAAAAAGCGATCCGCCAATCGACTAACCAGGTTCCTACTTACTAGTAGATAAACAGAGATGTGTGGAGTAAGGAAACTTACCTAATGTTTTGCTCTAGCCGGGAATAGAACCCAGGTCCTCTAACCAACACACAACAGGACGTCAAGTTTGCCATTGCTGGTCTGCTGACATCTCTAGCTGCAGTGGGAACTTGGACTATTGTTGTCAAAGCCTAGACCCAAATCCCCTTAATGATCAGCTTTCTGTTCCATGCCTTCTTATCTTCAAGCAACTGTCTTAGATGAAGGAAATATTGATCTCAGATGCTGTGGCATTTGCAGGCAGATTGATTCAGTTTACACTGGAGACCTTGAGCATTTATAATGATAATATTGTGATAATATACTAATAATAATTCTTCCATTCAGCCACTTCTTGGGTGTCTGTGGCTGCAATATTCACTGTCACTACATTTCATATCCCGTGAAGCGTCCTCATTATGTAAACATTGCAATATCAAATGCAAGGAATATTATAATAAATATTGTTCATGTCCCACACTTTGGGATGTCTTGCCGCATTGAAAGGCACTTATGTGAATTAAATTTCCTGTGGTTGTTTAATTACTGTTTGGTGGATCAGAGTTGTACAGAGTCCCATAGTGTAGGAGTTAAGACTCACCTCGCAAGCGAGAAGTCTCAGTTTGATTCCTTTGGCAAGTTTCCTTACTCCAAATGCCTCTGTTTACCTAATAGTAAGTAGAAACCGGGTTCCTTGTCAACTGGTGGACCGCTTTCCTGGGGAAATGGTTTGTGTGTCAGCCTGGTGCAGTGGTTGTACTCTTACCTCTGAGTGAGAAGATTGTGGGATCAACCCCCACGTCGACAATCATATATTCTAAGCTGACACTCCAATGTATGAGGGGTGTGAGGTGGGGAGTTTGCATTGTCGGAGGTGCTGTCCTTCGGATGAGAAGTTAAATCAAGGTCCCTATATAGGTGGACATAAAGATCCCATCGTATTATACGAAACGAGAAGGGGGATTTCTCCCGGTGTCCTGGCCAACAATCCCTCCAAATAAAATTGGTCATTCACTCCATGGCTGTTTATGGAACATTGTTGCAACCAACTGGCTGCTGCATTCACCCACAAAAACACACAGTCACTGCACTTTACAGTACACCCTGTGAGACAGCTTTGAGACATTTCAATGACGTGATAAAGCGCTATATCAAATGCAAGGTTTATTACTATTATTATCAGCACAGGTGGTTTCCGAGAATGTAAATGATGCTGATATCTTCTGCTGCTTCTGTGTCTGGAACACTTTAATAAGACTTTGGTTTACGAAGGTGTTTGCCTTTTTCATTGAAAACCAGTGACGTGAATGGCTCCATGGCAAACTGACAAAATGCACAGTCATTTCTCACAATTCCTTTGTGGCTGCTGCCTTCAGATCTGTGCCCACGTAAATTTTCTGTGCCAGTTTCTATAGCGCCTGTGTAAACAATGGTATCTCACCAGCCAGAATGTACTATCAAGCGGATCAGGAGTGGGCAGACAGCTGCATGGGGAGAATCAAACATTTGCTCAGCGTGGCGGCTGAACAGAAGATGTTAAAGACTAATCCATTTCGGAGTGGAACAACAAAACAAGACAATGGCTTTGACTTCACAAATGCTGAAAGGCTGCAATGAGCAGTGATCAAAAACAGCCACAATCTGGGATTCCACCTTGTCTTAAACCTGCGAAGGGACTGCCCGACCAAACAATCTCTTCACCCCCCCCCCCCCGGTCCAGGGAGAAAAATCCTTCACTTACGTCACTGCTGTTTCTGTGACTTTTGCTGTGCACAAATTCTGCGCCGTGTTTGCGTACAAAAATGGAGGGAGGAGAGTGACCAAAAGCATGGTCGAAGAAGAGGGTCTTGAGACGGATTTTGAAGGAGGCAAGGTAGGGGGTGAGGTGGAGGGACTGCGGGATGAACTTCCAGAGGGTGGGGGCAGAGTGGCCGAAGGCCCGCCCGCCAATGGTGGGGCCGGTGAGGCGGGGGATGTGAAGCAGGCTGGATCATGCTGAGCGGAGGGAGCGAGCAGGTTGGTAGGGGGGGTTAGGAGGTCTCAGAGGTATGGGGAGGAAAACCATGGAGGGCTTTACTGTGAAGTGTAGTTCCTCTGTATTTGTAAGCCAGCATATCAGCCAATTTGTGCCACAAACAGCCTCTAAGTGACTAAAACAATTTTACCTGGTGGATTATTGACCAGGACACTGGGAAAAACTCCCTTCTTTTTGAACAGTACCATGGGATCTTTAACGTTTACCTGAAAAGGCAGACGGGACCTTGATTTATCATCTCATTCAAAGGAATGCACCACTGACAAGGCAACCCCCACCCCACTTCTGCCCGGACCTGTATTGAAGTGTCAGTTTGGACTGTATGACTTCCAAGTCCCAATTTGGGGCTCGAACTCACAACCTTCGGACTCAGTGGTGAGAGTGCTACCAACTGAGCCCGGTTGACAATAGACTGAACCTGCTCTGGCAACCTGATTTGTCTACCGGAGTCATATTTTAAATATCACAATGGAGAACCTTTTAGCTAACGTTTGCTTTTCCTCTTAGGCCCAGGTTTGGGGGGAAGTATTGTATCGGAAAACGCAGGCGCTATCGCGTGTGTAACACTGAGGCATGTCCTCCGGATAAACCGTCTTTCCGGCAGATGCAGTGCAGTGAGTTTGACATGGTCCTGTACAAGAACTCGCTCTACACTTGGGTTCCAGTCTATAATACTGGTATGTACTGCATCACCCCAACATTTGTGCTTAAACTTCTTATCTCTGATCTCATGCTGTGTAGAGATTATAGAAAACAAGAGGCCACTCAGCTCATTGAGTCTGTTCTGTCAGTTTATTGGATCATGACAGATCTTTTAAACCCATTGCTATACATCTTTCTCTCTCCCATCCTCTCTCTGGTCCACCTTGCAACCTCTCTCCCTTCTCCCACCATCTCTCCATCCCTTCTCCCTTCCACCCGCCTCCCTCCCTCCTTCCTTCCCTCTGTTCTTCCCTCTCTCCTTTCATCCCTTCCACTCCCTTCTTCCCCTCTCCTCCCTCTCCCACTCCCTCCCTTGCTCTCCCCCTCATTCCCTCCGCCTCCCCCTCCTCTAAATCCCACCACCTCCTGTGCTGTAATTCTCTGGTTTTCTGGGTGTTGTAACAATTTCCCAATCTTTCCAGTTAATCCCTGTGAGCTGCACTGCCGGCCCATTGAAGGGGAATTCTCCGAGAAGATGCTGGATGCGGTGATTGACGGCACCTTGTGCTATGAGATTGCAAACAAAAGGGATATCTGCATCAATGGCATATGTAAGGTAGAGTTGGGTATGTTTGCTCTGTCAAATGTGAAAGCTTTAGTCTCCTCCTCTTAATAATCCTTGCATTTGATATAGCGCTTTTCACGTCTTCTAGGCGTCTCAAAGCGCTTCACAGAATATGCTGTAAAGTGAATTGACTGTATATTTGTGGGCGAAACGCGGCAGCCAATTGCGCACAGCAGTGTCCCACAAACAGTCATGGATTGAAAATGACCAATTTATTATTGTTTTTGTTTTCTGGAGGAATTATTATTAGGTGTGTGGAGTAAGGAAACTTGCCCAAGGTTTTGCCCTGCCTGGGATTGAACCCTGGTGTCTCGCTTGCAAGGCGAGTGCTCTTACCACTGAGCTACAGGACTTCATGTCTAAGTGACAGGCAGACATTAGCATTGCTTGCTGACAGTAATAATAATAATCCTTCCTTTTGATATAAGCCTTTCACGTTGGGAGGACCTTATGGCAGCCAAATGCACAGGATAGGAAAACAATAATAATCCTTGCATTTGATCTGTGACTTATTGCATCGTTGAGTCTCAAAGTGTTTCAGGGGATATTTTCGTGTCATGTCGTGTGTTAGCCTGGCACTCTCGCCTCTGAGTCAGAAGATTGCAGGTTCAAGCCGCACATCAGGACTTCAAATTATGTAGTCTAAGCTGAAACTCCAATGCAATGTTGGGGATGTGTTGCATTGTCGGAGGTGGTGTTCTTCAGATGAAACGTTAAACTCTCTGAATGTTCAAGTATGTTAAACATCCAATGGCACAGTCAAAAAGAGAACTGTGTTTCTCCCGGTGTCCTGGCCAGCAATCTCCAAAATAAAATTGTTCACTTACTCCCATGGTTGTTTGTGGCACATTGCTGTGCCCAAACTGGCTACCGTGTTTCACGCACAAAATATACAGTCAATCCACTTCAATCCTGTGACGTGCTTTGAGATAACTCAAAGACATGATAAGGTGCTCCATCGAATGCAAGGATTATTATTATTATTATTTTGGGTATGGCTTGTGGGGATCTGAACTCAACCATTTGTCAATGCATTCCAGCATCCTGCTTATTTTGCTCATTGCTGCCTTGCACTGTTTGACATGATGATTTACAAGTTATCCAACGCATGTCAAATTGCTTTCAACAAGAGTAGCATAGATCAGTAAACCCAGATACCAAGAGCAGAGATTGACAAAAGAGCAAAGTGAGAATTGTTGTTTTCGAGAACAGTGGAGATATAGAACACCTTTACTTCAACTAACTCAGGCCTGCTGTGTTCCCCCCCGACCCCTTCATTCGCTGCACTCCGAACCTCTGGAACTCCTTCCCTCAAAATCTCTGCTCCTTCATCGATCTTTAAATCTCAGCTGAAGACCAACTTGAGATGTGCCATGAAGGAGACAAGGGAGGGAGTGAGATGAAGGGGATGTGGGATAGAGTTCCAAAGGGTGGGGACAGAGAGGCTGAAGGTTCGAGCACTGATGGTGGGGTGGGCCTGTTGGGGGATGTGGAGCAGGCTGGAGCCTGCTGAGCGGAGGGAGCGGACAGGTTGATATGGGGTTAACAGGTCACAGAGGTAGGAAGGAGCAAGGCCATGGAGGGCCTTGAAGGCGAGGATGAGAATTTTGAATTCTATCCTCTGAGGAATGGGGAGTCAGTGAAGCCGGGTGGAGTTGATGGTGTCATGGAGCCTGGTGCAGAAGAAGACACGAGCTGTAGAGTTCAGGATGATCTGCAGCTTGTGGAGGGAAGAGTTGGAAAGACCGACAAGAAGGTAATTGGCGTAGTCGAGCCTGGATGTGCTTAACTTCCATGAAATGAGTGATCAGTTTATCTGGGGGATTGTTGACCAGGACAATGGGGCAAACTCCCTTCTCTTTTAGAATAGTGCCATGTAGATCTTTAATGTGCACTGGAACAGGCAGACAGGATCCCGATTGAATATCTCATCTAAAAGCACATTGCATTGCAGTGTCAGCCTAGACTATATAAGTTCCAAGTCCTGACTTGGTGCTTGAACCCACAATCATAGGGTCAGTGGAGGAGCAAAGGGCCAGGGAAGAGGGAAGGATGATGGCAATATGGAAGGAGATATTGGTGTGAATGGGACAAGAACTTACATTTCTACAGGCCCTTTCACGTGGGGAGCGCATCTCAAAGTGCGTTACACGGGTGTCTGGGAGCCTATGATGGCAGTAGGGGGAACCGAATGGTAAGGTGACTGAAAACCGGGTTGAATAAGTCTTAAGGCAGGGAGAGGGGCGAGACAGACACTCGGGGAAGGAGTTCCAAAAAGCGGGAGCAGAATGGTTAAAAGCTTGCTCATCAATAATGGAGTTAGGTTGGTCAGGGAACGTGAAGCAAGCCGGTGATGGGGAGGTGGTCAATGGAGAGACAGTGGAACTGAGCAAGGATGGGGAGGTGGTGAGTCTCACAGAGCCACAGGATTTGAAACAATGCAAGACTAGGTCTAAGTGGAGTTCCACTGATAATAAAAATAATAATAATAATAATATTAATAATAATAATCCTTGCATTTGATATAGCGCCTTATCATGTCTTCGAGACGTCTTCAAGGCACTTCACAGAATATACTGTAAAGTGAATTGACTACACATTTTATGGGCAGAATTTATTTTATGATAAATTTACATAGATTGGGCAGCACAGAAACAGGACATTCAGCACAAATGGTCCATGCTGGTGTTTACACCCACTCCTTGCTCTCTCCAACACCCTTCTATTGCCTTCTCCCTTATGTGTATATCTAGCCTCCTCTTAAATGCATTTACACGGTCTGATTCAACTACCGCTTCAGGCAGTGAGTTCCATATTCTCATTCCCCTCTGCGTGAAGTATTTCCCCCTAAATTCTTTTTTGGATTCGCTAGTACCTCACAATCTTCTACTAAGAGGGAGTCTTTCCATCTGTAGTGGTCTGTTGTACAGTCCTTCTGTGTGTAACTCTCAAATATTTTCATCTGTTTGTGTATCTCTTTTTACTTCTGTGTACCCAAGTTTGATTAACCAGATAGACAATATCCAGCTGTCAGCTTTTTATTCAATGTTTATTTTCTAGTTTTAACAGAGCAGAGCTAACACCTCCACGATACCTCCATCTAGATGATCTAGATAATCTAAGTGCAGTGCTGAGGTGTGTTGCATTGTTGGAGGTGCCGTCCTTCAGATGAGTCCTTAAACCGATGTCCTGTCTGCCTGTTCAGGTGGACATTATAGATGTCATTGCCCAATTCGAAAAGAGAAGGGAGTTTCTGGCCAACAATTCCCCAGTCACTCACTTTGTGGTCGATAGTGGGACATTACTGGGCCACATTGGCTGCCGCGCTCACCCACAGAATATCGTGTGAAATGCATTGAGATGTCATGACAGTGTGATAAGTCACCGTATCAAATTCAAGGATTATTGTATTACTTCCTAGTTGGCAACGGGGATGGTATTGTCCCAGTTGTGCTCTGTGGGCAGCTGGTTCCAGGGAGAGCCAGAAAGAGAGAGATACAGCCTGAAAGCTCATACCACTGGTTCATTAGCAAACCCTCTCAGCTAGGCATTTCAACCACCTCCGCGTGCGTGATCCAGCGAGGGACAAATGAACTGTTATCTATCTTGGCAATCACTAGAGAATGCAGAATTCTGCTCTATCCAAAAACTGAGGGCTTTGTTGTGGCCTCTCTCTCTTTTTTTCTCCCTCCACCCCTCTCTCTCTCTCTCTCTCTCTCTCTCTCTGTCTCTCTCTGTCTCTCTATCTATCACTTTCTCCCCCTCTCCTTCTCCCTCGCTCCTTCTCCCTCTCTTCTTCCCTCTCTCTCCGCCTCCCTCCCACCCTCCTTCCCTACCTTTCTCTCCCTCCCTCTATCCCCTCTCTTCCTCCCCCTCTCTCTTTTTCCCTCTCTCCCTTTTATCCCTCTCTCAATCACCTCCTTATCTTTGAGTTTGTGTAAGATGAGGATGGCCTTTCCGAGCCAGTTGCCTGGTCTGTAATTTGGAAACCCCGGCTTGGCAGCTCCTTATGCTCACGGCTCGAGCTGTAACCCTTTGAAATATCTCATGCTTTTTTCCCATCGTAGCAGACACTTGCCACAGAAACATTCCAGATTATCACATTGCCCCACTTGAAAGAGATCACTGAACATGCCCTGGTGAGACAAAAACAGAGCTAGGCTGTTCACGACAGGCAGATTCAGCCTCTTCCACTCCCACTAACCTACCCATCCCCACAGTTAGAAAACTGAGGATCTGCAGTGATTTAAGCAGATAGCAGTCCAAAACCAGACGTGAGTCATCCGAAACACTGAATCCAGACTTTGCCATTAGCAGTTTGTGCGGAAAACAATAACAACAATAATAATCCTTAGATAGAACACTTCCACATCAGGAGAATGTCTCAAAGTTCTTCACAACACTTACAGAGTGTGTGGACTCACACGCCAATGTAGTGTTGCGGGGAGAGCTGCATTGTCAGTGGTGCCGTCCTTCGGTTGAGATGTTTAAACAAGGTCCCGTCTGCCTATTCTGGTGGTTGTTAAAGATTCCATGGCACTATCTGGAAAGAAAAGGGAGTTTCACCCAGTGTCCTGGCCAATAATCCCTCGGACCAATTGCTCACTCACTTGCTGGCTGTTTGGGGATCATTGCTGTTCTCATATTGGCTGTTTTGTTCACCTACAAAATACACGGTCACTATACTTTACAGTACGTCCTGTGAAGCATTTTGAGAAGTCCTCCTGAAGTGAAAGTGGTTATACCAAATGCAAGAATTATTATTATTATTAGTCATCAGTCCACTGACACACACCTCCCGACTGGACAGGCAGTGACACGCACATACTGTCTGAACAGTTGTTCAGCCTCCTCTGGGGTTGAAGGTATAACATCTGTAACCCAGATTCCCAGACAGCACCATGGAGACTGCGTTGAATGGAGCCACGGGATATTGAGTCCAATGAGCTCCTGGTTATTGGATCGTGGTCGATCGGAGTTGCCACTGGATA